CTCCGATGTAGTCTAGCTGGTTAGGATTCGTGGCTCTCACCCACGCGACCGGGGTTCGAGTCCCCGCATCGGAACTTTTACCCCTCCCAAAACTATTACCAAATCAGCGGACTATCCTCATACTAGTCACATTCAAGCACCAATAAACTCCCCAAAATTACTCAATATCTTTCCCCAGAACCTCAGCATCTTCCCATCCTCCCCGAGCTTCCCAGCCAACTCCCTCATCCTCTTCGACAACAATACCACCTCCGTTTCCCCGCCGATGCTCAGGCCTGCCAGATAATACACAAAGTGACAGCGGTGCCCCCCATAGCATACCGGCTATCCCAAGAGCCGCTCTCGCTGAGGGATTGCATGAGACATCCTCGGGAGGGATCGGACACTCGATCACAACCCCCGGTCTGGCGAGCGTGGATCTATCCTCGCCCAATAACTCCACAAACTCCCTGGCTTTAATCTGAAGCGATGCTATCGATAACATCTGGACTCATATATCGAGTGAGTTGAAACAGACATTGAACCCGATCTCTATCAGAACTAGACATAGTACGATACCATAAGCGAGATTATAACCTGAAGTTCTTCATCCGTCTTCTTATGCTTCCAGGATCCCTCTTTAGGAGGGTATAAGTCTTTCACATACCTATATAGTAGAGCAAGGAGGGTGATAAGCTATTCGAATGCGAATAAGATGCACGACTCGGTGCAACCAAGCGCCTTGCAGTGGAAGTGAATCTAGTTCACTCAACAACTCCCAAAAACCGAGCGGCTCGATCGCGGCTATACCCTTACATCACAATCTAGGAGATGTACCAAATAGCAGGCAACTACCTGCTGATCCTTTCGACATAAGCCGAGACATCAGCCTCCTCCAACTCGGTGTCACCATCCTTCTTCCTTCTAGCCATCTCCACCAGGACTCTACTGATATGCTCGGCCACGCTGCCACTAAGTGCTTCGGAGGGCTTCTCAGTGCTCAACCCAAAGACGCTCTCCTGCAGCTTATGCATCGCCGAGTACTCCCTGCCGAGATCAGCGGAAGCCTTAGACTCCATATTTGATAATTTAAACACTGGATAAAAATGACACCTCCTCGGTTCGAACCCGGGTCATTGAACACAACCCCACCAAGAGTCACCAGTGTCAACCAAATGTGGCATCGATCGCCTGAGTTCAACATGGAGTCCTCTTAAGGTTGGCTTTCCCAACATCCCTCAGGGCGATATTCATCGCCTCCAGTCTAGCTTGGCCCTCTCGAGCTCCTCTCAGATGCTCAGCATAAGCGTGGCGTTCACAATCATCGTAGCTCAGCCGCTGATCTCGACTACAATGAGTTCTACGAAAAGAACACGCTATAATGTTCCCGGGGGGAACCCATTTCGAATTTTCCACGGATGGCTAGGAACACATTCTTCAATCAGTTTCCCATGTAAATGCCGTCATCACATTAGTAACATTTTTAACCCAGAGGAGCGTTATCTATTTGAGTAAGATGAGTCCTTGGAGAAGACAGTCCGAAGTCACTTGATAGTAAATCATAAGAAGCACCACACATCCCCCAACATACCGGTTATCATCGGGTAGAGGCATGTAATTAGCCGTAGCGCACGAGCCCTGCAAATAGGGGACCAGACATTGACTGAGCAATGGGCCCTCAGCCACTGATAGGCCGCTCGATTCTGCATGTAGAGGGTCTTGGGATATACGGAGTTGAACCCTCCTGTCGTTGATCATGTAAATTCCAGGAGCCTGCAATGGCGGTCTCTAGGGGAAGTTCGAACGCTGGTGAATTTATCATCACGACAAAATTTCAATTACGTCAAGTATCTCTTCAAAGTCAGTGTGGACGGGAAATATGCACATGGTCAACCACATGTGTTGGTGACAATATAAAAACTCTGAGGAAATTTTGGGGGGAAATTCTTCAGAGTATCTGTACACTTGAAAGTCAACCCGTATATAAACTCATATGATTAGTGAATAAATTCCTGAGCTCATCTGAGGAAAGCGAACATATATTCTTCCAACACTGCTCCTACCTACCTCTCTCTGTATACGGCAGATCACCGAGAGGTCCGGTCTCCGCTGCAGCAACTCAGAGAGTTTCAAATCGATAGCATCCCCAGGCTGCGCTCCATAGACTGGCAACGCTCCCTCGATCCGCTTATAGGGCGCCGTTTTTGCCATGTTCTTGTAAGTTATCACTATCGGCTTCGTTTCTCTGTCTACCTACAAGTGACGTTTCCCAGGGGATGATGCATCTTAGCGAGTGATTACTCACTGTTGAAATGGTCTTCCATGCTAGTCTCACTGCGGCTGAATGTTCATTAGCCAGGGCGCGTTCATTGGCTATTCTCGTGTCACACCGGTGGCTGGGCCCAAGGGGGCCGGGGGCCGAACTAGAGCGGATTGAGGTCAGCGGTAGACAGTCGATGGGATGACTGAAAACAGAATTACCCGAAAACGATTTAAGGGAA